TTCTCTAGAGGGCCATAGAGTAAATGTCTTGGGCTTTGTGGGCCAGTTACAGTCTGCGGTCTCTGTCACATACTCTATCACAAATGTAAAAAACTATTTTTAGCTTATAGGCTACACACAAGCAGGCTGGAGTCAGGATTTAGCTACGGTTTGCTGTCTGGTGCTCTAAGGAATCCACTGTATATAATATATAAACCTCTCCAGTGCTCCTAGAATGGTCTTAGTTGTGCCTTTTTTGGGAGGATTGAGAAAAAAATTAATTCAAATCATTTTCTCTGTTTTGTGGTTAAGATGAAAATTGTGGTTGAGAAAGGGTTGCATTAAATTAACAAAGCTCAAAAAATGCTTCTGGACAAAAATGATATTATGTAAAAAATACTAGCTTTCAAAAATTTACTAGGAAGAAGTTAAAATCCAAAATTCCAGGGAACTGTCATTTTTATCTAAAGCATAAATCAAATGTTATAGCTTCACTGCCTCTTAGTAGAAAATTAATTACACGTAATAGAAAAGTAATTACACATTTATTGCCTCAGTATAAAATTAATTACATCTAATTCAAACCTTGCTCGGAATGGATACCTGATCATTTTTACATAGAGTCACGTGTGCCTTATCTTTTGTAAATATCAGCACAGTCTAGACACCTTAGAGAAATCCTCAAGGCTTAGTTTTAGAGTTTAAGGGTTAGCTAAACAATCTTCTCACTTTACACTTTAGGAGATGTATGCAGGCATTATTTCATAGTACAGAGCAACAGAGCACACTACATGCTGCATTCTAGTAGTTAGGAGAAAACAAGTTAGTGGCCTACCAGAAAAAATAACTAAATTCTCAAGCTCTTGGCCATATTAAATAATATTATTATTTCACAATAAACTGATCATCTTTTCAGTTAAACGAGTTTTTTTTTATTATCCAAAGCCGTGCTTCATCTTTCATTCATAAACAAACATTATAACTGTCATCAAAATTACACAAAGAGTAATCAAATTAAAACACTTTTAAGTTATACAAGTTCACCCTCCCAAATAATACAGGCATGTGAATGGACGACAGAAGAGAGCTATCTCTATCTAGAAATGTGGGCAGGGGGCTGTAATCCCTGAGCAGAAAAACAACGCTTGTTTTTTAAGTGTGAAGACATTTATATCTTTTAAATTGTTGAAAAGTCAAAAGCCAACAACAGAATTAATACAGTATTTAGTATCCATAAGTGTTATTGGAAAAAAGTAATTGGATAACATACCACTTAGAATTCTCTCAGCCAAGACATAAATCAAATAGTGCTAAACAGTCATTAAGCAAACTTATTTTAAAATAAATCTGAGATACTGCTCAGCCTTCAAGGCTCCAAAGAACTGTTTTAATAATTTCCTGAGAGAGAATTTCAAGGCCAGAACCTACTGGAAAAGTAAAAATAATAATAAGTCCAGTCATATGGAAGAACAATTCCTTCTCTTTAACCTCCCTCCCCCAATAACAGTCTAAATTAGCCAAATATAATACAGTGATAATCGGGCATTTTGCCTTGTTAATGAAAGTATTCCTTTTGCCTACAGAGAAAAAAAAAGCCACCCAAAATGACTCCAAGCATCCAGAAACAATTTATTGGCCCAGTACACATGCCACCAAAATTGCACATCTTAAACAGAAAAGCAGCTGAAATCACCATTCCTATGATATCAGCTTTCCCCTGGTCTTTCACAAGCTTTCTCTCAACCAAATATACTCTTATAGACATTTTCTTGCCATACCAAAGCAATTCTGTACGCATAATTCTTATCACAGAAGTCATAAGCAAGAAGAAAGAAATGAATTACTATTACCTCCCCAATTTCCTTTTCTGTTAGCTTTTCCTCCTCTCTGCAGAAAGTAAAGAAATTTCCCATTCTAAAAAAATAGAATTCTCAAATCTTTAAAGCAAAAGACTACTTTTCTCCTTCCTTGGAAATACTGTCTTTCTCTTCTTCCAGAGTCCAACACCTTTTACCTCACCAATATTTTCTGTAATCCTCTGGTATCATGAAACTCTACCTTCCCTAAGCAGGTTTACACTGCAGCCTCCAAAATGATGCCTAAACCTCACCAGATAAAAGATCCATAGCAACAGCAGGAATAGTTTTTTTCACTTGCTATTACCAGAAATCACAGTCCCAAAAGATGACCATGGAGGTGTCACTTATGTGACAACCTGGAAATTGACTCATTGTTTAACTACTCAAATCCACGTTTTCATTATGTGTGTCCTTTGGGAAGCCAGTGACACAGTAAAAAAGATCTTTCACTGACAGTCACCATTTTTTTTCATAAAGACATAGTTGTTTTTTTGTTTTTGTTTTTTTTAAGAGCAGCTCTCTGGATATAAGATTTCATCACTGTAAGAGAATCTAATTCCCCATCCCTTCCATAATCTATCATCTTAGAATACACAGTATGACACACCTATGACAATATTAGCTTTAAAATAAGAGCTTAGACAATGATCACAAATTTCTGTTAACTACAAGTCATTTATGTAATACCTATATACCACTGATTATACTAACAGGTAAACTGATTTATATTTATCAAAAACAGCTCCTTTGTTGTGATGATACCCTGTAAGGCTAACTGTATGTGAGAAATTAAGCAGAAAATTGAGAATCTTGAAAAAATAATTCTACATAATGTTCAATTAAATTCTAATTCACTAAAATAGCTCAACAGTGTCATTTAATTTTATTAAAAGTAATTTCCCATTATCTGCATTCTGTATAGAGTAAGAATGATATGAGTCCATTTTTTCAAGAACAACAATAATTTAAATATTAAAAGCAGAAAGAACTAGCCATGATAAAAATGCAACATGTATAAAACCCTGTTAACCCTATTACATATTTAGACTGAGGTACATATAAATATATGTATTTACATTAGAGTAAATATTCCTAAAAAGGGTAAAGAATCCTACATATTTCTATCTAATAAAATATATTTAGCAAATCCATAATTTTTACTGAGTGCATAATTTTTACTGAATTCTCATTATATAAAGACCTTCTTAAATGACATTGTCAAATTATAATTTTCTGCTTCTTGAACTTAGTGATCATCTTATATTTTAGCCATTTTTAGTACTATAATTCACTTTTCTACTTTAAAAAAAGAATTATGTCTAAAATTGGTAGAAGGGATCAAAACTCTATAGGCAAATGTTGAGCCTTATTTTCTTGAACAGATTAAAAGTGTTTTCAGACATAAAATATATTTCATGTATTGTACAATATACAGTTGACTCTTGAACAACAAGTAGTTTGAACTGGGCTGGTCCATTTATATGTATATTATTTAATAAATATACACTCTGCCCTCTGTATCCATGGAATCAACCCATGGCGGATGCAAAACAGTATTTTCCATCCACAGTTGAGAATCTTCAGATGTGAAGGACTGACTATATGCAATCTGAATGCACTGTTCGACACCATTTTATATAAGAGCCCTGAGCACCTGAGGATTTGGGTATCTGTATGGGAGGTTCTGAAAACAATCCCTCATACATACCAAGGGATGACTGAAGTTAGTTTTTTGGGTGTCAACAGGTATACTCAGACTTTTGACTGATCAGGATTCAGTTCTCCTAACTCCCATGTTGTTCAAGGGTCAACTGTATATTTTGTGTGCATATATACACACACCCATCAATTTCCTTTAAAAAAACTTAATCTACCACTCAGAATAATGAAAAAAAAGTAACCTGTAAAACAAACAGCTACCACATAAGAGATGAGAGGTATTAGGTAAACATATCAGAATTTTTACACTTGAACAAATTGTATTCTCTAAAGTTTCCCAGGGACTCAAGGGATTTATTCTAATGATAATTAAATATTCTTTAAAATGTAGAGGTACATTTCTGCACATGCTTTTGATCACCCTCATTTGTGGCAAACTTTGATTAGGAGGGTTAATTTTGTTTTAATGGTTGTGTGTTCATTTTAGAAATTGGAAGTGACTTAGGTCCAAGACTGATGAATGAGGTGTGTAATCAAGTTTGTTCACATTGTTAGGTGTTGGCAAACACATTAAATAGTCCCTATTTGCTTCTCTCATTTCCAGTCCTAATCCTTTGTTTTAACTAAGCTCTGAGCTCTTCTGCATGGTACTTGTTGGAAAACAGTAATTCATTAATCTGATAGGTACGGAGAATATTTTAGAGAGCTGAAGCTGGAGTCAAAAAGCTCATTTAGGAAGTGGCTTGATATTTCCTTATTGATTCAGAAGTAACTTCCTTTCACCTCCAGGAATTTACATATGTAAACACAAGTTTCCAAAGTTTTCACTGTGAATGGGTAGTTTTCACATAATAGCAGTCCAGGGTTATTAAGTCCAGGACTTGGATAGGGGAAGGGCGAGTAACAGCGTGAGGAAAAGGAATTATAAATAATAAAAATTGGCTATATGTCAAAATTGGGGGGGAAAAGTCTTAAAAATATCTACATTTAGGGGCAATATTGCAATTTACTGGAATATATGATACTGGCATTTTATTTTACTGGCATTTTGTTAGCCAAATTGCATTTTTATAACTCGAAGACCAAATAGATTTCATGTTCTTTTTTTAAAAATATATTTTATTGATTTTTTACAGAGAGGAAGGGAGAGAGATAGAGAGCTAGAAACGCCGATGAGAGAGGAACATCGACCAGCTGCCTCCTGCACACCCCCTACCGGGGATGTGCCCGCAACCAATGTACATGCCCTTGACCGGAATCGAACCTGGGATATTTCAGTCCACAGACTGACGCTCTACCGCTGAGCCAAACCGGTTTCGGCGATTTCATGTTCTTAATAAAACTGTTTTTCATTTGAAGATAGGAGCATTTACTAAGTGTTCAAGCCTACCTGGATCAAAGAAACAGAAGTTGATGGGTGACCGAGATTTTGGAAGTTGCAGAATTTAACACAATGTTGAGTTTGGCCTCTTAGAATGATAATTGGAAAGCATGTTATGTTACATTATTTATTTATCTATTTATTTTAGAGAGAGTGGCAGGGAGGGCCAATGGTCTAGCCACTGAGAAACATGAGCTAGAGCAAAAATCATGTTATTTTAATTCTTCACAATTTCATCTATTTATTTCAGTGGTCGGCAAACTCATTAATCAACAGAGACAAATATCAACAGTACAATGGTTGAAATTTCTTTTGAGAGCCAAAATTTTTAAACTTAAACTTCTTCTAATGCCACTTCTTCAAAATAGACTCATCCAGGCTGTGGTATTTTGTGGAAGAGCCACACTCAAGGGGCCGCATGTGGCTCATAAGCCACAGTTTGCCGACCACCGATCTATTTCCATGCAGCACCTCCAATATCGATCTTCACTCTTGAACAAACCTGTAACTAATTACTTCTGCTGGGATTTGTGGCCAGCACTTAAAAGTCAACATTTCTAGAAATGAACTAATTTTCTTTGAAATTCAGCCATGTCTTTGAGTCTTTACTCTCCATTTATATTTCTTCCCTTTCCATATGGAATTAGTAACCATGGTCTGTTAGTCTTCCTTCAGTGGTGCTCAGAGCGATCCTCAGACCAGCAGAACATCTGGGAACTCATAAGATATGCAAATTCAAGATCCAACTTCAAACCTATTGAACCAGAAGTTCCAGAACTGAGGCCTGACAATCTTTGTTTTAACAAACCCTCTAGGTGGTTCTTGTGGATGCTCAGGTTTGTCCATCACTGCCCTACATCAAATCCTTATTTCTATAGCCTGAGCCATTACAATATTTGCATAGTATATATAGCCTTCCACTTCTCTAACCCAGCCTGCTGGGTTAGAAGCCTAATGCAATCTCCAAAAACAAACAAAAAAACACATTGCTCTCATCAGTTTACTTTCTTGCTGAAAACAAAAAAACAAAAAACAAACCTCCTTGTTGTAGACAGGATTTAAAAAACTATTTGGTATCCAAGGCCTTTTACAATTTAGTCCTATCCATTCATGGCAATAAGCACCTACCTCAAACCTCTGTTATAGAAAGAACCTTGTGTGTGCCTCTTTGTCCTTTTCTCTTGTCTATCTCCCATTCTCCTTGAAGGGTCTGTTGAAGGCTGCCCTGCCTAGAAGCAATGTAGTGAAGTGATGTAAAGTAGGGGTGTCGAACTCAATCAGAGAAGGGGCCAAAATCTAAAATCCAGCCTAAATCGCGGGCCGAATGGTTTACTGAACAGTCATAAACTGTCATTGTGATGGAAACGCAGCGGAGTGCAGTGATGACAGCGCGGTGCGGGCCACATTGCAAGGCCTGGCGGGACGGATTTGGCCCGCGGGCCTTGTGTTTGACACATGTGATGTAAAGCATGAATACCTAGCAGAAAGGTACTCCGTAAATGAGAGCTCTTTTCCTTAGTACAGTCTTCCTTGGAATGCTTCTATGGCAGTTTCAATCCTATTTGGAATTCATCACTATTGCTCTGTGTTCTTAGATTTCTATATGTACCCATGTCAAGTTTCTCCAGTCTCTCTCTATAAAAAACAAACATGCAAAGTGTCCACTCTAGTGTTTGACTGTGAAACAGGGAGTTTGATTGCTTGCTATAATGTGTGCTGACTACCAGAGGGTGGTGTGGAATAAAGGAAGGCCCCTGCCAGCAGCCAGTAGTCAGGGAAGGGAGGCCCCAGCTGGCATCCAGAAGGCCCTGATTGCCAGCCAGGCCTTGGGACCCTACCTGTGCACATTTTTTTTTCACCAGGCCTCTAGTTATAGTATAAACTTCTTGAGTTTAGGTACTTTTATATTTTTTGCATCTCAAATACAGACATCGAGCACCTCATCCTATACAAATTAGACCTCTACACTTTGTTGCAAATATTTTTCTAGTTTAAATCACACCATTATTTTATGCAGACTAAGCGTGAAAAACATTAAACCTGGATCACCAGTGCAGCCTGGGAAAGTCAATATATTACTACTTACTGACAGGCACATAGGAAGGCTCAGAGTTAAACTAAAACAAAGGATTTGAACTAAAACTAGAGAAGCAAATAGGACCCTAATTAATGGGTTTGCTAACTGTCCTTCCCATGAGGTCAGTATTAAAAAGCATACATTTGAAATATGCTTCTTTCCCTAAAGCTGCCAGGCACACTAACTATGCCCCCTTAACCACAGAGGTCAAAGTTGTATTTTCTTTCACCATACTTAGTAGCATATGTGCATGGTTTGCTGATTGGTTTCTTTTGTGCTTCTGCTTAAATTTAAGACTGGCGGCAGGAAATTGAGACCAGAGAGCTGAGAAACTTTACTAGCTTCAGTGGGCAGACATAATCACGAGGCAGAGGCTTTGGGAGGAAATTATGACTATAATTCCTATTGGCTCAGCTTCCACCAAATTTATTGCATTAATAACAACTTATGCCCCACCTGATTATCTATGTTACCCATCCCTTCCTTATCACCCACTATTGTGCTATTTATACTATTCTGCATCAACAAATTAAATCCCAGTTTGATATAATATACTGTAAAATGATATGTCCAAAGCCAATGGCTTAATAGAAAGCTGGGGGAGGGGATAAAAGGGCACTACCACGTGACTCAAAAAATGCATTTTCAAAGAAAAATCTGGATGTGTCTAGATGTTCTTGAAGTATTTCTTCCACCAAAAATTCACTCCTAGGATTGTGTTACTAGGCACTCTTGAAACCTGGTAGAGTAACTCACTAGTGTCCTTAGAAATTCCCTAACACATCAAGTGTGATATGGATGTTGTATCCAAGAAAACCTCATTAATTTGGTAGTGGTAAGCTGTTTCTATAATTCAAAGCAACTGTTATTCTTTAGCAAGACACTCTATTGTTCTATAATAAACAAATTGAAAAGTACAATGATGGTGAATTTGAATCCATACTTTTTTTCAGTCATTTGAGTTTAAACTAATAGAGTTTTACATATTTATTTTTCTTACTGTTTTTAAACAGATGAAAAGGGCTTGAGAAAAAAAATCACTAAGAACACAATCTCTGTACAAGTATCACACAAAAAAAGGTTGAAAAGTTTTTCAGTAAACCTTTTTTTCATAAGAAAAAGACAAAAACATAATTTTTTGGATTTCCTTAACAGCACATTTTTAAAATTACTTGACCAGAAAGAAGTGGACACTTAAATATAAAATTGGAATATTTTCAACTCTTTCATCTGAACTGTCTACAATTTTGCTTACTCTAGTTCAAAAGAAGAATGAACCATAATTTTGCTAGAATATCCAGAGCTATGTCAGACCAATAGGCTAATCTGATTTTTTAGGACATGGATCATTCTAATCCATGACCATATGATAAATGAAGGAAAGGAAAGCCCAGTAGGATGCTATTAGGAAAATGCTGAAACAAGTCCATAAAAGGTTGAGTGGGAGGGTACCTCTATCTCCAGTGAGGTAAATGCTGGTGAGGGGGGAGGAGGGGAAGAGGTAAGAATAGAGAAGAAAAACAAGATTTCCTTTGTACTAGGTTTCCTAGTTTCTTTGAATGTGCAAGTCAGGTGATCCACATATAATCATATAATTCCTCAATTATATAAAATTTTAGGAAGGGGCAACAAAGCGAATGGTGGATAGAGTTGGCCATCAATTTGATATTTTGTTTTTTAATCCATATTTGAAGGCCTTTTCCTATTAGAAAAGTATTGCTGCGAGGAATTTCATAGTATTGTTGAGAAGAATTAGTTGATATCTTTTGAAAATGTTTGATTTCTATAAGCATTAATTCAAAGATGTTGTTCCTACCACCTAACACCTTAGTCTAAAATGGCAAGCAACCATATGAGAAATGTACTTCAGATGCAGTAAAAATGTTATTTGTGTATATTTTATTGACAAGGGGCCCAGTACACGAAATTTGTGCACAGGGGGGACCCCAGTCCCTCAGCCCAGCCTGACCCCTCTCACATACTGGGAACCCTCAGGGAATGTCCTAGTGATGGCTTAAACCTGCTCCCTTTATGGGAGGTGACTGGGCTGGTCTGGGGAAGGCACCAGCCCCACTGCTGCAGCCACTGCCAGTCACCACAACCACCAAGGTCTTTTAATCAACACAGACTCCAGTCCCTTCACCATGAAAAAATGACAGCTTTCTTTAGGCATTTTCAAAATGTGTCTTTCATAGGATATGACATTTCTTTCTTTCTTTTTTTAATCTTCACCTGAGGATATATTTTCATTGATTTTTAGAGAATGTGGAAGAGAAAGGGAGAGACAGAGAACAACATCAAAGTGAGAGGAACACTTTGACTGGTTGACTCCTGCATGAGACCTGACCTGGGTCCCAGCCAGGGAGGAGCCTGCAACCTAGGTACATGCCCTTGATCAAAATCAAACCCAGATCCTGCTGTCAGCAGGCCAACACATTATTCACTGAGCCAACCCGGCTAGGGCAGGACATGACATTTCTTAGCCCCCCAGCAGTGGACCTTTGTTTTTTTTTTCTCCAGGAGTGTGGTGGAAAAACCCTGGATCACATTTTTGGATTCTTATACCCAAGTTACTAAGAATATTACTAGTGGCATACAGGGAGCTTAGCCAATGAGCAGTCAGAAAAGGTACATAGATCAAGTGGGTTAGAAACTCAGTTCACACCAATCTCAGGCTCTGCCCCTACTCAGGTCTAAAGCCTCGGGGCCTGGGCAGGTGCCCTCCAGCTCCCTCCAATTGCCGGCTCCATCCCTGCCCAGGCCTAAAGCTTCTGCGCCCTCCCTCTCCCCAGATCCCTCCAATCACTGGCTCCCTCTCCCTCCAATCACTGGCTCCCTCTCCCCCATCTCTGGCTCCCTCTCCTTCCTATGGCTGACTCCCGCTCACTCTGATGGCTGGCTCCCTTTTGCTCCAATCCCTGGCTCCCCTCTCGCTCTGATCGCTGGCTCCCCCTCGCTCCAATGGCTGGCTTCTTTTCCCTCTGATCACTGGCCTGGGGCCCGGGTCCCCCAGCTCCTTCAGATGGCCAGCTCTGACCCTGCCCCCTTGGCTCCAATCACAGGCTTGGCCCTGCCCAGGAGCCCCCTGGCTCAGGCCCTTCCCAGGCTGCTCAGGGCCCAAGCTGGTCCTACCTTGGAGTGATCTGGGTGCCAAGGATGTTCCTGGATGGAGGCTTCTGGGCATCTAAGTATGCAAATTAGCCACCATCTTTGTTGGGTTAATTTGCATACTCACTCTGATTGGCTGTGGGTGTAACGAAGGTATGGTCAATTTACATGTTTGTCTATTATTAGGTAAGATTTCTTTGTTCTTTTAAAAAGGAGTTGTCACATGGCATTCCTCCAGAGACACATTGTTTTATATGTTCCTGTAGTAGAAATTTTTTGAGACAGTGATGAAAAATGAAAAGGAGTTTGTTGCATCACACTTAATATTGGTGTTAATTTTTGTTCTCCTAATCCCATTTTCTAGCAACAAGTAAAACTACCACTCTTACAAAAAACATCATTCAGTCAAAAACTATCATCAATCTGTCCAAAATTTACTATTAGATTTCCTTTTTTAAAGGCATTATTCCCTGTAAAATATGAACATCCATGGGAGAAGTCATACACTAAGTCATTAATCAAAAACAACTTACTATGAACAAAATTTATCAGACTCTGCTAATGTGACAGCTGGAGAGAAATGTACTTTCTTTTTTTATTTGTTTGTTTTGGAGGGGTGGAAACAGAGGGCAGGTACAAAAGGTTCTTTTTCTCCCAAAGGCAGAAATTTGTCTGAAATCAGCCTTAGTTACAGAAAGCAATGAGGCTTCTTATTCCCTCAAAGGCCTTGGAAGGTAAGGGAATGAGAGCTTTAGTGTGAATAGTTGGTTATTTACAAGTATATTTTCTTAGATATAATACATATAATACATTTAAATCATTTTAATAAGTAGAAAAAAATCTACATTGTGTACATATAAACTAGCTTTTATGAACTACAATAATTTAAACATCACACAATATGTATACTTAAAGAAACAGAATGGTAAAAAGTTAGAAAAGTCTAATCTATACTGCACTCAGCCAATTACATATAATTCATACTTAATGGTATAAAATGGTAAAATATGTGGTCCTTGCCTTTAAGAAATGTACAACCTAGTTTGGAGGACAAGTATCTTACCTAATAATAGAAGACAAACATGTAAACTGACCGTACCTTTGCTACACTCATAGCCAATCAGAGTGACTCTGCAAATTAACCCAAATAAGATGGCGGTTAATTTGCATACATAGGCTTCCGGCGCCTGTGTCCCAGGTACATACTGGCACCCAGGTCATTGTGAGGTAAGGCCTGGGAAGGAGCAGACCCCCTCCAATGATCCATCTCAGGGAGCAGGAGCGGACCCCTGTGATCAATCGCAGGGAGCTGGGCGTCTGCTTTCGGCTCGGGCAGGAGCGGACCCCCTGCAATCAATTTCAGGGAGCTGGGGCTCTGCTCCTGCCCAAGTAGCTTTCAGCCTGGGCAGGGGCGAAGCCAGTGATCAGAGGGACCTGAAGGGCCCCTGCCCAGGCCTAAAGCTTCAGCCAGAGGCTTTACGCCTCAGCAGGGCCCAGCCCATGATTGGTGTGAACTATAGAGGAAACATCTTTTGTGACTGCACATTGGCTAAGCTTCCTGTATGCCACTGGTAATATTCTTAGTAACTTGGGTAATAAGAATCCAAAAAGGTGATCTAGGGTTTTTCCACCACACTTCTGGAGAAAAAACTGAAGGTCTGCTGTTGGAGGGCTAAGAAATATCATATCCTGCCCTAGCTAGTTTGGCTCAGTGGATAATGCCTAGGCTTGCCAACCACAGGGTCCAGATTTGATTCTGATTAAGGGCATGTACCTAGGTTGCAGGCTCCTCCCTGGTTGGGGCCCAGATCAGGGCTCATGCAGGAGTCAACCAGTCAAAGCGTTCCTCTCACTTTGATGTTGCTCTCTGTCTTTCCCTTTCTCTTCCACATACTCTAAAAGTCAATGGAAACATATCCTCAGGTGAGGAGAGAGAGGGAGAGAGAGAGAGAGAGAGAGAGAGAGAGAGAGAGAGAGAGAGAGAGAGAGAGAGAGAAGTAGAGAGGGAGGGAGGGAGGGAGGGAGGGAGGGAGGGAGGGAGGGAGGGAGGAAGGAAGGAAGGAAGGAAGGAAGGAAGGAAGGAAGGAAGGAAGGAAGGAAGGAAGAAAGAAAGAAAGAAAGAAAGAAAGAAATGCATATCTTATGAAAGACACATCTTGAAAATGCCTAAAAAAAATTGTCATTTTTTCTTGGTGAAGGGACTGCAGTCCGTGTTGATGAAAACACCTTGGTGGTTGCGGTGACTGGCAGTGGCTGCCCCAGCGGGGTGATGGGACTGGTGCCTTCCCTTGATCAGCCAGGTTGCCTCCCACAAAAGGAGGCCAGACTGCTGTCAATAGGATATCCCCTGAGGGCTCCCAGTATGTGAGAGGTATGTGAGAGGGGGCAGTTTGGCTGAGGGACACCCCAACCCCCAGCGCACAAATTTCGTGCACTGGGCCCCTAGTAACATATATAATTAGAAAAAATCTAAGGCAGCATATAAATCAAGGACTGAGTTTTTTGCTACTGTCAATAGATAAAATAAGTGCTTGAAAATGAAAGAGATTTTGGTAGTCTGGAACATTTAGAGAACGTTCATGGAGAAAGTAAGTTGGAGACCCTGAATATCAGGTAGGATTTGGTCAGTCAGTAACTACAGAACTATAACTGGCATGGTAGAATAAAAGGGATTTCTTATTGAAAAGTAGTGATAACTAAGTTTATATCTGTAGCAAGGAGCTGGATAACAGAAAGTCTGGAAAGTTGAGCAGAGGATTTGTGCCTGGTGATGGTATTGGCATGTGTATGGTGTGCGGAGGGGTAGTGGATTTCAAAAAAATGTGGGTTATCACACAAAAGATAGATAAGATTGCTTTGCAAGAGTAACTGTCCATATACATCATACACATTTTATAAAGGAGCTCAAAATATATTCTACAGATGATAGTTAATTCATCTTAATAACATTTCATTGAGGCAAAGAAAATTTAGCTTTTATTATTCCTCATTTCATAAATAATTTGTTCAAGGTCACTAAATAAATGACAGCCAGAATAAAAAACACAGTATCACAATGTTCAA